GAAAGCAACAAGTAAGGACTTAGGTCTCTGTTGTTTCACGGGAATTTACAGATTATACAGGATGCTAGGCTTTAATTAGGATTACTAATGCCTTCTTGGTGACCTTAGGGAAGAAGATGTTTGAACGAGCTCAATGGTAATCCTCGAACAATACCTCCAGGTTTGCTGCCATGTCAAACTGTCCTTTAAAAATATGCCCGCCCTTTTGTCACAACTTAACTCCGGCCTTTGTCGAGTTGGAATGGTGGACGGCAGAACATCAGCCCTCGGAAAGGGTAGCATCAAGTCAATTTTGAGCAATAATTATAAAACATAAAAATTGAATTCAGTTTTCAAAATCTCGATTTTCAAAAAACAATTACACAAAAAGAAATTCGAATGCGAAGGTGTAAACTCCTATAGTGCTACTCATTTTGTTATCAATAATCGATAAAACACACTCTTAGTCAAAATTTGACTCCCAATATTTAAGGGTGGCCATTTTAATTAATAGAATATCAGGCACACGAGAAAGTCCAAACCCAAAGATCTGACATATCATTTCCGACGTGTTTTGATGAACTGAAAACAGTGCCGCAGTTAGAATTTATTCTCGACGGCACAGTATCATGTAAAATCTATATCTAAGGTGAAAACGGACCCAAAAATCGCACAATTTATCCAAAAAAGGAGTTGTTATTTGTAAATTTGGATATTAAATTAACCTAGTGTCTAATTTGTAAGTGCTTTAAAGTTAAAGAATTGAGCATTTCGCAATTTATTTTTTAAAAGCAACAGAGCGTGCGGCGATATTTCCTTTAAAAAACCCTCTGTCATGGTACACTAATAAATACCGAACAACTTTGAATGTCTAAAGAGTTAAAAACAAATCTTGAAACTTCGGCATAAACCTTGCAACTTAACGAGTTTAGTTCGAAAACTTCCGTGACAAAAACAAGAAAAATAGCCCCCAGTAAATCATAACATTAATACGTCCGGCAAAGTTGGGCAATTTAACCTATGGTAATAAATCTCTCCGCTCTGAAATTCTTAAACTGTCCTCATAATTTGCCGGGTGAGGCTAATTGTGAAACGAAATACGAGTCTGGTGATTAAGCGTAAAATAAACGCAGCCTCGAAAATGCGATAATACGTAGATGTGTCTCCAGAAATCAAAACTGTTTGACTGAAGTTTTCTGATTTGGTCTTTCCATCGCCTTCAAGTTATGACAATTTGATTAGTGAAACGTGTTTCAAGCCTTGAAGCCTATAAGCTGCCGAACTCGGTGATTAGTCAAATTCAGTGCTTGCTTAGTGCGGGAAGCGAAGGAAGCGGAAGCACCAAAGATTATGAAAATTCATTAAAGGTTCGGAGAGTGTGTAGCTGAGACTGTGCGCAAATTACGTGGAGTTTCCTGTAGAATGAAACACTGTGAAAAGATTTAGTTGCCAAATCTGAACAAAAATTAAAATTTAAATATAACCACATGAATAACAACGATCACTAATTATATTATTATCGGTATTACGCATTATGATTACGTAAAATTAATATAATAACCGCAGGGCTGATTTAAATGGAACGTGTGGAATTCGTTGGGAATTTGTACGATAATTAAACAACAGCAATAGGAATAAATTTTCTAATGAGGATTGTGCAGGTGGCCTTTTGATGAAAACATTAATTGAATGGTGAATAAATTGGCACAAATATAATAAAATTACCTGGAATGTGTAGCACTCGATACTTGTAGTACCTGCAAAATGATCATTTTCCAGTTTAATTGGATCACTTGTTACACGGCAATATTGGATCATTCCCAATTTATGGCATATTACGAAAGTTATATGTACCTTGTTGCTATTCAAAATGAAACAATTTAATGTTGCAGTTACGGAAGATCCAGTCGCGGTTGGGTTGCGTTTAGGACTATGCACATTTGCCAATAAGTTAATTACTAATTTTTTAATATTAAAACTCGAGTTTAAAAAATCGTTCCTTGTACATACAAATATTCAATTCTATTTGCAATACAAAATTTACTTAGTTATAGTTTAGTATAATCAACTGGTACAGTCTTTCCGATCTCAATTGAAGACCCAAGAGGTTGGCAGTATGTACCAGGCTCGGTCGATGACACAGCAACACGTCATTGAAATATTTGAAAAACTTGTTCCCATATTTGTTTAGCCATACCCATATACAGGTCTGGTCGCCCAGTTGCAGAATGAATGCGCAGGCAAACGCGGCACAAACACAGCCACATTTGGCGACCTGGTCATAAATTCAGTTGTCAACAAATGGCCTAGCAGTGCAGTGCAGCAATGCGGAATTTGGTGTGATTCAGGAAATTTTAATTTATTATAGGCACCTTCTATTAATCATTCATATTACAATTGCAATTAAATTTAAATTAAGAAGAGTTTTTCAAATATAATTTTGTCGTAAAATGATTCAAAATTAAAATTATTTTCAAGCATATCCTCGAAATTCTTTAAACAATTTTTTGTATCTGATGATGAAAATCTGTCTTAATCCTCTGCATATCACCAGGACAGCATGATCCTGATGAAGCTTTTTCGATATATGCTGGCCTTCTAGATGTACTTTTTTAACCAAGAGTATGATCCAGTTGGTAAAATCATGGCCTACTGCGATTTTTTAAGCAACTTTTAGCAAAATCATAATTTTATTCAATGATAATATTTTGTCTGCTTTAGAGCATCTTTTCTTATTTAATGTGCCTCAAAATAGGACGATTTTTCAAAAATAAAGCCTTTTACGTCCTGAATTTTAAAAAAGACTTGTTTGCATACAAAAGACACTCGTTTTGGGGCTTAATAGATGTTATATACAGCCTCCCAAAAACAGTCTTCCAGTCTCCCAAAAATAGTCTCTCAAAAACAGTCTCCCAAAAATAGTCTCTCAAAAACAGTCTCCCAAAAACAGTCTGCCAGAAACAGTCTCCCAAAAACTAAACAGTCTCCCAAAAACTAAATATTTATATATTATATCTGTCCATCTGTCTTTTTTCCTATTAATTTAACATTCACATACACTATTCCTACAGTACTCAAAAAATATCTAAATAAGTAGTACCTTTACACAGTGCATATCTAGTAATTTAAATATGTGAATGAACTACTAGTACTAGTACTACTCGTATATGAATAGACAATGTTATGGTTTTACACGTTCATGACTAAAATAACAGTTCATTGTAAACATTTAATTAATACATAACACCATATTTAGAAAAAAATTGCAAAATAATAAGGTGTCAACAACATCACTACTCTTCATGCATCATCCAAAATTGATTAAAATAAGGAAATTTTATAAGTAAAACATCGATACCCACTTAAGTTTATAATTAAATTCCCCCGTCAGTAGGGCAAAGTAACTTTAATAAAATTAGTAGTGTGTTTCTAAGGAACATGTTTGCCTTGGATATTATTGGTTTTGTCGAGGGATAAACTGATTACTGTCACTTTAACGATGTTATGTCAGTTTACCGTCGAGAAATGGATCAATTAGTCTCAGTTGGAACAATTCCTATAAGACAATATTAGTCTTTTTTATCGGACGTCAAAATATCACATACGGTATAAAAATACTAGAACGGCCGGTGTTTTTATTAAAAACAACCGGAAGTTTAAAAATAGAAGTTAGTCCGCTTATAACATAAGTGAAAAAGTATAAAAACAAAATTGCAATACATTTTTAATAAATTCAATAACAAAACAATTTACAAAAAATTGATTAAATAAATTTTCAGTATTCTTAACAAATAACTAAATAACTTTAGTAGGTACATATTTAAAATCCGATCAACTGTCTACTAAGTCAAGTTCATTGTGGTTATTTGCACGGTATGGGCGTGGATATATCTTGCAGCGACTGCAAATTGGTTCACATTATTTTATTTCAAAATGCCTTAATAAAACCAAGAATTAGCAAATATTGTATTAATGTACGAGGAGATGATTTAAATATGACTTCTGGCTTGCACTAGAATCATTACCTCCAAAGATAACAACTGAGTCCCATAACAGTGCAAAACTCTGTTAAAGGAAGACAAGGAAACAGCAACGTGTCTTAAATAGGAAGAAAGGCACTTTACACCTTGTTGATGAGAACATGAGCCGTAGTACCCGCGATATTGTACGTGAAATGGGCGTTTCAAACATTTTTTTTCAACAAAGTACAACATTCTATCATCATATATTTAAAAACATTATTAAATATATAATAGCGCATTTTTCAATAAATATGTTTTTCGTATTAACAACGTTTCAGGAGGAGTCTCTTTACGCAACAAATTATTTATCAACGTGCCCGAGAGTTACGGGAATGCGGGCGAGCAAGGGAGAAAATTGAATGGAAAAATAAGCAAGGAGCAATAAAAACATCCGCCGCTTCAAGGCGGGCCTTTCGCAAATCTCTAAGAAATCCCCAATCAAGACTATCTGCGGAATTAAACATTTCCGAGCGTTCAATCAGTCGAGTAATGAAAAAGAGATGCAAATTTATTTTCGAACAAAAATCCGAGTCGCAATCTGGAAGGATAGGATATACTTTAAAAACTTTTAATGTATCAGTCACCATTCCGGGACGATTAGTAATAAGTTTTACGTATTATAATTTAAAGGGAATGCTCACAGATCTGTCACTGGGGCACAGGAAAGATCTTAAATTTGGTAATTTTTTTAACGCTGCCTACTCCAGGCAAAAAGATGTACCTTTCATTGAGATGAACAAAGATACAAGTGTCTTGGTTGGTTAAAAACACCAGCGAAAGCAAGTACCAAATAAAAAATGATATTGTGGTAGAAGTAGCCAATATTATCCTTAAAACTTTGAAATTAAATATCAAACATCTTTAAATCCTGGATTGTAACAAAAAAATCAACACCAAATCCAGCCAAGATAAACTAATTTCTGCATTTTAAAGAACTGCTCAATATATCCCAAAGTAACAAAATAAATACTCCCGCTTATAGATTTCCTGTTGTTTCAGAATACTCCCAAGACTTCATTCCAAACGGCGCGATCGACCAGGTGAAAATCGAGGAAAACCTAACCGGCGGCGATGGCAGCAACCCGGCTCTCCGCACACGGAGCGCCGAAGAAACGGAAGCGGCGCACGATCTGCTCTCCCTTTCGCAAAGCTTGCCGCCCCTACCAGCACCCAGCGTGGTCATGATCCACCATACCGTCCCCACCGAAGAAGATCCACCCAGCCCCACGCACTGCTACCGGCCGCTGTCCCCCGACTCCCGGAAGTCCCAGATTCCTGTCGTCCGGCACGCTGAACCGCCCCAAACCGCCACCCCTCACCGGCAGCATCCCCAGGTGTTGGTGCCGAATTCCACGCCCGTAGTGGTACCTTGTTACACGCCGCCGATAGTCTACGTAGTCCAAGTTCCCGCGGCCGTTCCTACGCCGCCGACTTCGGAATGTTCTTCCGACGCCGAGAACCTCCAGATTTGTTCCGTCGAGCGCCTCGGCCAACCAGGGATGCAGGTTAGTAATTAGCTGTTGCTTTGTGTCGTAACATTCCACTAAATACATTTCATACACGAGTTGAACGTTTTTGGAATATTAATTCTAAAGGCTCGGTTACATGGCGCGTGATTCGGTAATCCTAACTCGTCGAACCACAAGCCACTTGGTACAGCCCTTTCCCATTGCCCCCGGCTCGTAGTGTTATTCCTCAGAAACAAGAATTGGAAGAAACTAATGCAATTTAATATACAGGGTGGCCAAATGAAAACGAAACAGAGCCATTTTCAGGAACTGCGTCAAGATTGTAGAAAAACGCTCAAACCCGTCGATTTTAGATTAAAGGGGACATTTTTTGCTGGTATTTTTGACTCCGCCACTTTCACCCACAACAAAGGGTAAGCATCACCCCAAAATATTTAAATGGCATTGGGGGTTGAGTAATATTTCTTTTGAAAACTTACAATTCTCTTTACAACAGACTTTAAATTTTACAATTCCGCTCAATACTTATTAAGAATTTTTATTTTAAAGTTGAAACTTATGTACAAACAATTAGTAACGGTAAAAATGTCAGTCATTCGAGTTAACTACGCGAATGGTATAAATTTAGTGTTTCTTGCGTTACATTGGCTTTTGGCGATTTGTTATCACTCACGTAAAAAAAAACACAATTGTAAAAAACAGAAATGAATGCTATATACACACAATGAACGTAAAATTAGTGGATTCCAAATTATTTTCTAGTTATTATTTGGAAGCGTTGGTTGGTAGTTTATTTAATTGTGTTTTTGAAAATTAAACACTATGGTTTATTCGATTGCGGAAAGGGTAGATATCATTTTGTTTTACTTTATGAACAATATATGTGCGAATAGAACATCTCAGCTATTTAATGAACGACATCAAGATCGACACGTCAGGAGGAAGTATGTTCTAGAGTTAGTAAAAAAATTTCAAGAGGCAGGGAACGCAGCCAATAAAAAACGAGAAATTCAAAAACCCATAGTTAATGAAGCTAGTTTAGTTTCAGTTTTGGGACAAGTTCATTTTGATCCTACATTAAGTACGAGGCAGCTGGCATCTGTGTCTGGGATCAATCGAACTAGCATACAAACCATTTTGAAGAAGAATAAATTCCATCCATACAAAATACATTTAGTCCAGGAGGAACTTCATGAGGATGATTATGACCGCCGTTTGCAACTTTGCGAAATAATGAGTGAGCGAGCAGGGAACGAACCACAGTTCCCTTTTAACATCTGTTTTTCTGATGAATGCAGTTTTTTCTTGAACGGGACAGTAAATCGTCAGAATTGCCGCTATTGGTCCTATTTAAACCCAAGAGTTTTTCACGAGGTGCATACACAGCAACCGGAAAAATTAAATGTATGGGCTGGAATTTTCGGTGACCGGCTGGTGGGTCCTTTTTTCTACCTGGTAATTTGACTGGCCAAATGTATTTGCAATTACTGGAAGACGCTATTGACCCTGCATTGACTGGATTGAAAATGTTCCAGAGTATGATGAAGATCATTTGATTTTTCAACAGGACGGTGCTCCTCCGCATTATGCGTTAATTTTCCGTCAGTATTTGGACCAACGTTTTCAACGGAATTGGATTGGGAGAAGAGGCAGCATTGAGTGGCCTCCACGATCACCGGATTTATCGCCCCTTGATTTAAAAGTAAAAATCTATAAAACACAGTCGCTGGAAGATTTGCGTCAAAGAATAGTCGACGAATGCCGTCAAATCATTCCGGAAATGCTTCGGAATGTGCGCGAACGTTTCGAACAAAATCTTTATTTTTGTATGGAAGCGGGCGGTCATCAGTTTGAACATTTAATCAACTAAGTAGTAAGTAAGCAACTAAACATAATTTAAATTTTGAAATGTAAATTTTTTCCATAGTATTGGGCGGAATTATAAAATTTAAAATCTGTTGCAAAGAGAATTGTAAGAGCTTCCAAAAGAAATATTACTCAATCCCCAATGCCATATAAATATTTTGGGGTGATGCTTACCCTTGCTTAGGGGTGAAAGTGGCGGAGTCAAAAATACAGCAAAGCAAAGAATGTCCCCCTTTAATCTAAAATCGACGTGTTTGAGCGTCTTTCTACAATCTTGACGCAGTTCTTGAAAATGGCTCTGTTTCGTTTTCATTTGACACCCTGTATATATTATTAAACACACTAACTTAAATTAGTAGGTCATTTTTTGTCAGTAGAGCAACAATGACAACATATAACAATGAGATATGCTTTATAGGTTATATCTCACCAATACTTAAAACATTGGTGAGATAAATCCAAATAGCTAAATCATTCATCGGTTGTCGTACCTATAAACATACACCCTGAATACTTGAGTATAGACAGGATGTTCCGTTAAAAAAGAGGTCGGTTTGTTTTAACAGATATGCAGTATTGATTTAGGGTCAATCGACCAATGAATGAACAAATAAGACATATTATCACTTTGAATTTAGATTACAGATAAGTAGTAAATTCAAATATTTCAATACGATTAGTAAGCCCTGTTATTTTAAATTTTAAAAAAAACCAGACACAACAATATAAAGTTAATTCTTGTATTTATTTTTTAATTAATTTTGACAGAAATGCCAAATCACCAGTAAATGAACATACGTACCCAGTTGATGAACAAAGATAAACCAGTGAATGAACATATTATTTATTTTTCTACAAAAAGTAACAAAACATGAAACTAACGCCTACAAAACTACCTACAGTAAGTAAAGTTATTAAAAATTAAAATTCAGAACCCACCACGTGGTGGGTTCTGAAATGTTCTTAACAATTTGACTTCTGATGTACCAAATTTGGTCGGAAATATCTGGCCACTTCCAATGTTTCTTTACTTTATCCATTACACTTATTTCGTAGTCTTCATCTTCAACGTTTTTTACAATACCTGGATAATTCCTATTCCAGTACTTCACAATAACGTTACGTTACCTACAGTGAATGTTTCGTCTGAAAACTCCTTATTTTCCGCGTAGTTCTATATGTTTCTTTGATTCTTGCCCTTTCTTATTTTCTTCTTCCTTCTGCTTTATGTCTTTTTCTTCTCAACCTATCTCCAATTTTCTCTTTTTAATAATACTCTCAGTTTTGTCTAATGAGTGTAATGTCTCCTCATTCCTCCTTTTCTTTGTTTTTTGATCTTTTCTGGACCCTCTTTCCTCTTGTCCTTATTTTTATTTTGTTTTTTTTTTCTTTTTTCTCTAATTTTCTCTCTCTTATATCGTCCTCTTTTCGTGTTTTTCTCTCTGTTGATCATTATGAAACTCGATCCATTTATTTTAAGTAATTGCATATGGCATTAGTGTACGCGAACGACTGGAGCTTGTTTTTTTTGTAGTCTTCTGGTTTAGGCCAGTGTAAATGCTTTTACCAAATATCCTCAGGTTCTGTATCATTTTGGTTCGTCTCTATTAAAATATTCGAGACAACATGGATACCCTTCTCGTTATTGTTATTATTTTTATCGTTTATCTTGTTCAACATATTTTGTATTTTACATAATGTAGTATTTATATATTCTATAATATTAAAAACATTTTCTAGGATTAGATTGAGAAGTTTCTCACAGTCCAATTTATTTTGAATGGATGCTTCGTTATCAAATTTAACTGTTAGTGTTTCAAATACTTTCTACATGTAAATATTCTTATAACATATACTTGCTTAGCCCTACATTACTTTTATTTATTAGTATGTGAAAATAATATTTAAATTGTAAGGTTTATGATAACAGTAAGTGCATGATTTACAAACGCTTTTTTAAAGTTATTATTTTATTTAAGTAAATTTAAATAGTCACAATGAATAAACTGAACATCAAGGATTTTATTTTTGTGCTTACTTTTGTTGCACACGTTTTATTTTTCAAGATTTCAGTACCTAAGGACGCCACAAATTTGACTATTTCTCGGCCAGGGATATGGCCACCTTAATATTGTTGTTATTAATATATTTATATATAAAAAATAATAAGAACAATTTACAAAAAGATAACCATTTGTAGGTACTACTTTTAATAATTTTATAATAAATCTAGTAAATGAACAGTAAAATGGCCAGTGAATGAACGCTAGTTCTTAGTGTTCATTTACTGGATTTCTACATGCCATAGTAATCTTATGTGACCCTGAAAAATTTTACTTTAATATAGCAGGTCTTAAGAATCATTTTTGCTTATTTCTAATAATCGCGCCCAACCCAGTAAATGAACGGCCTGTTCATTTATTGGATTTGACATAAGTTTGATTGCTAGTTATAAAACAGGTGGTATGTTATGAAAATGGGTATGACAATTGGATTACTTTTTCTAAAATTTGCTTTATAATTAAATTAACTACAGCTTTAGTAGAGAATATTTATTATTTTTCGCGTTTTACACAACACAAACAGTTTTAAAAGTTGTTATGTTCTTTGACTGATCTTAGCTAAAATGGCCGCCACAACAACACACTCTGACTTGTCTACACTCAATGAACTACTGAGCAGTTTAAAGCATACTGAAATATATTCCAGCGAATGAACATTCTAAAGGGCAGTTGCGAAGAAAAATTGAGGGAAATACGAATTTCGGCAATCCTAAAGTAACCTTAATATTTAAATAAAATGCCTCTTCTGTTAAGTTACTGGGTACTGTTCATTCTCTGGTCGAGTCACCCTAATTAATCTGATTCAACATTCCGCGATTTTTATTTTCTTTTTTCTATCTCCAAAAGTAAGAGCTGCAAGCGAACGCGCGTAGTATAGGAAAACGCCCCGTATATGTTTATCAATTAACCTTGGACGCATCTTTGTTGCAGGTTTTGTCGGAGCAGAGCGAGGACATCCTGATTTTGCCGCTGTCTCCGGAACCAGACAGCCAGAGCGGACAAGAAGTGGCGAATTCTGATGTCGCCGGGCAAAAACTGGAAACCGTGATAGCATCTTCCCATCTCAACATTCCCGACAGGCGGAAGAGGAAGAATAAAAGGACCAATAAAACTAACAAGACTTCCAAAAACAACAATGATAGCTGTACGAGCGATAACAATATTGATTCCTCCGGCAGCGAAATTACTACCACATCTAAAACGGTAAGTTCTCCAGTAGGTTTGTGCAGCTTGAATTTAAAGCAGCTGATTTACCTTTTACGTGGGACTTCGCGCCGCTGTTTGCTTTTATTTTATTTACTCCCGCGACGGGAATATCGCCGCTGCGAAGTTATTTTGATTTAATAAAGTCGCGCTTACAAAAACGCGATTGAGCTGCTTTATTATCTGCTCTGCAATAAAATTTGTACCGATTTAAATGGGTTTATCGACAAACGCAAAATATTTTCAGAAAAAATATTGTGATATTTCAATGAATAAGTACCTACACAATTTTTTTACGCTTTGTAGGAAGGATCAAAAGTAAATTCAATCCTTTGAGGATTAAAAGTGGCACTTTTTAAAACTTAGAAATATAACAGCACTTTTCATCCACGGACAGTCTTATTTACTTATACTGAGGAAAACTAATGAATTGCCTGAAAATTCAATGTTTTAATGAAAATTGGAAAAGACCTCGTACAAACAAGCTAGATTAAATTTAGCAGCTACTTCAGTTTGGAATATCCCCGATTAAAAATGTAAAACTAATATTTTGACCATTTGAAGCAAAACTTAACAGAAATATTCAGTTTTAAGTTCCATTGTTTTATCTGAGCTCATATAAACTTTTCCTCTTATTTTTCATTATAGAACGCGATGGAAAAACATTACACCCTAATTTCAAAACACACGTAAAATTTAGATCATAAAAAATTTATTTTCGAAAAGCAACACTCCACCTTCTAGTAACATTACCTTTGCTTTTCATTTAATCGATTCTCAGATTAAGGAAAAAATATACCCCCATTACTAATGTATCTACTGAAAAATTCATATCAATTTGGGCTGTTGAATCAATAACGAAAGGAAAATTATAATCCCATTGAGATATAATCTATATCAGGATTAAGATTAAATGTTTTATGATAATCATCTCCTGGGCTTCCTGCGATTATCCCGAACACTTAGATATTAACTGTAATCAATCATGCTCGGTAGGTGTACGCCAATCAATACGAAGACCGATTAGAAATAAAGAGTGTTAATCTACGTACCAAATTATGTCGTAAAAGTAATTTGGTACGAAATACCGGGTGACGAACAATAAAACGGGTCGTAGAAAAAACTTAATGACAGTAGTAAAAATAATAACACGATAAAAAAGTAGTTAATGTTCAAAATACGATGATTTATCGGGTTGTTATGACGTGGTATGATTTACATCGCATTCCCGTAGCGTTAACTAGCGATCTTTGACCTGCCCTTGTTGTTCTCGGTCTAGGCTCTGTGGCTATCAGAACAACTAAACCTGTCGTGATGTCCATTTCGGTTCTTGTCAGTGGTTGCAAGACTACACTAACTATGTAACTGGTCACATTCAATGACTCATAAATATATTTTAATAATTAATTTAATTACATATTTTCCTAAAGCGTGCCCTAATAATCTAATACAGAAATGTATGTGTGTATAATTGTTTTTCTTAGAAATGTAAAAATTACCGTTCTAAAAAGTATCCAAATAAAAACATTGCGTTTTCTCAAAACCACCATAATAAATATGACAAAAAACAAAATATTGTTTAAGGTGTTCTTGGGGACCTCTATGAAAAAAAAATTGCTTATGTTTAAACTCGGCTATCCAACGTCAAATTTCAATGAAATGTAAAATAAATGTTATTGTTGGTATTGTTACCTTTTATATATGGGTCATCACAAAGCAGTTTATCTCGACAACAGCCGGGTCATTCGCCAGAAATCAAGAGGACATATGAAACAATTATCAAAGTTACTGTTTTGTCAATAAAAAAACAAAAAAATAGGTAACTCACCGGGAAGTTACACTACCCTTAACTTTAGCATATCCTTCCATACGTTTATATTAATTAGCAAATATGTATCATTCTTTCTTCAACAACTAGCTAGTGTCACCTGAAATAAGTCGAGGCTCCCACGGACGCCAACCGGGTGTGTGAGTCATACTATTATTATGCCACCTACCTCAACACCACCCAGTATGTGTCAGGTAAGATCTCGTAGAACTTACAAGGCACACTTCGAAGGAACCACAGCCATTAAGACCGGAAACACGTGGCGCGCCCTGGGGTTCTCAAAAACGTAAACGAGTATGGCATATTACTCACAAATTCACAATTCATTGAACAAATGTATTCAAGCTAGCACACACATTTAATAATCGACCTTATTCGGGCGCTGACCAGGCACCACTGTCACAAAGAACACCCTCTCTTAGTTTCGGCATACCGGGCCACATTTTGGCACTCTTAAATTACATTATCTCAAGGGCAAATAAACATTTGGCTGGCGCATTCCGTGTGAACGGCTGAGGTTTGATTCAAAGCTACCACGATAGTTTTCATATCATAATAAAATATATATTGATTCCCATTACTATAATACTTTAAAAATAAACGAGTGTTACAGAAATGTTTTTAGAACTGGCGATTATTTTAAAAAATTGAAAAAAATATTGTTTTAGAAAATTGTTTTAGCATGTTCTATAAAATTAACTTAAAAAAAAACTCACAGAAATGAACATAGGTACCACCCTGTTCTGTAATATTGATCTCCAAAACAAAAATAAATAAATAAATAAACTTCCCACACAAATTACATAGCAAATAGTTACACACATTAAGTATATTGCGTCATATTTTCCTTAACTGGGCGGTCAGCTTATTTTTAAGTAGGCCATGATTCACTGCCTTCAGACGAAGCGAACGCAGCGCTCTCTGTGTAACCCTAGCATTAAAATACGCTACGTCAGAACATTTACTTAGTTTACTTTCCTGCAAATGTGACTGGCAGTTCACTCTTGTTCCAGAAATTCTACAAAGTCGTCGAGGAGGACGTCGACGAGGAGGTCGACGTCGAGACCACCACCGAATCGGAGTCCACGAAGAGCCGGTACGTTTGCGGAGAGTGCGGCAAGCAGTACGCCACATCAAGCAACCTCAGCCGACACAAGCAAACGCATCGCAGCCTTGACTCCCAGTCCGCGAAAAAGTGCATGACCTGCGGCAAAGCGTACGTCAGCATGCCGGCCCTAGCGATGCACCTGCTCACCCACAAGCTAGCGCATAGCTGCGGTATCTGCGGTAAGCAATTCTCAAGGCCGTGGCTGCTCCAGGGCCACCTTAGGTCGCATACGGGTGAGAAGCCTTACGGGTGCGCTCACTGCGGTAAGGCCTTTGCGGACAGGTCTAATCTGAGGGCGCACATGCAGACCCACTCGGGCGACAAGAACTTCAGCTGCCCGAAGTGTAACAAAACGTTCGCGCTGAAGTCGTACCTCAACAAACACCAGGAGTCGGCTTGCATGGTGTGGGATTCTAAGATGAAGGGTTATAAAAGGCTGACGGTTCACGCAGAAACACAGACCATTACTGTTGATTAATTTTTCGTTGTTTTTTTTTTGTTTTCGTATGTGTTCGATATGCTCAAGGTTATAACGTTATATTAGGAGTTTTTATAAAGTTTGTCTCTACTTTGGAAGGTGGGAGAATAGGCGTAACCTTTTCAAATGACCAGCTTCATAGCGCTATAAAGTAAGCATATTTAAGGTAAATTATAATATTAAATATATAGTTGAACTAAAAAAAAATAACAAAATCTATTGTACCCATTTACAATATTTGCATCTATGAAAAATCTGTAATTCCTTATTTTGCACAAAATTTGTGACGTCTTATAAAATACTTTATTTCTTTAATTCCGCAAATTTGAACTACCCCTAGCACTAGGGAAAAATTAGTAAATATGGCATCACTGTTTTAGAGCACAAACATGCTGGATCGTCGCTCCATGCTTCAAGCAACGTTCGATGGTATAGTCTTTTCGAAGTCAGTTGAACATGTATAAAAACGCCTAGCAATAAAAGTTTCATAAAAAGTTTTCTGCTAAAGGTAAAAAATTATAATAATGTGTAGAAAATTTCTATTATATGTTCATTTGGCCAACAACATAATTTAATTATTTATGTCCTCAAACAATTTTATTATATTGATGGTAAATTTCATTTTGTTTCATTTCAAAAGGCCTCCAAATTGCCATGTTGTAATAATATTAGTAAACAAAATATAATAATAAATGTCTTTATTTAATACAGAAAAAAATAAAATTAACAATTAGGCATTGTGGTTGGCGCCGTTCAGCTACCCTCTCTTCCACGTAACCAACCATGAACAAATAAGAACAAATGTAGTGTCTATATAAACCATATAGGCGAGTACACAAATCGAACACTTGCATACATAGTGCATAAAGATCATACAAAAAGTGGAATTAATATAATAGAACGTAATATGACAAATACACATTATAAATTAAGAAGTAATAGAACGAGATGAAAATGAGAGGGTTTTGATCTGTTTTTTGAAAGAAAATACGGAGGACGCATTTTTTATGTAAGTAGGCAAGGAGTTGTAAATTTTGACCGCATTGTATAGAAAAGAGCGTTCATATTGCGCAGTAGTATGTTTAGGGACTTCATATCAGCCACAATGTCGAGTTGAACGAGAATGAATGTCGGTACCCTTTTTCAATTTATCAAATAAATATTTTGGAGTTTTAAATGTATTAATCTTGTAAACTAAAGTTGCTAAATGTGAGGTAAATCTTTGATCCAAGGTTAACCATTTTACTGTAGAGAAAGAACTAGATATATGATATATATTTTCTTAATCCGCAAGAGAATCGAACACAACAATTTTGAATTATTTGAAGAGTAGCTTTATCTCTTGATAACAAAGCTGGCCAATATACTACATCACAATATGCTAAATGTGAGAGAATGAGGGAGTCACATAATTTAATTTTAATAGATGTATCTAACACATCTTTACTTAGATAAAGCATTTTTAGGATACAGTATGACTTTTTTGTTAAATAAGTCTCATGATTATCAAACCGCAGTCTATCATCAATTCGTAAGCCTAAACTCTTAACTTGTTTTACAAACGTTAATAATTTATTACACAAAATAATATTGAAATTGAGGTCATTTATAATACTTTCAGATTTATTTCCAAACATTATCATTTCGGTTTTATTTTCATTCAATAATAGATTATGTGCTCGTGTGACCATTGTTATTGAATTTAAATCTTCATTGATATATTCTGAAGCTAAAGGTATATTAGATAAGTGAAAATATACCCCTATAATATATCCCTCTTATTTCTCCCTTTCTTAATTGTAATACGAATGATTAATAGAAGGCGCATATAATAAATTAAAATTACCTGAATCACACCAAATTCCGCATAGCTGCACTGCACTGCTAAGCAATTTGTCAACCATTTGTCAACAACTGAAATTTATTGCCCAGTCGCCCAGTGCAGCTGTGTTATACGCCCTTTGCCTCCGGGCGCATTCTTTTACTGATTGCGAGCGAATATATTTCTACCACCTCCATGTTTAGTTCGAACAAAACTGTATAACTATAACCAAATAAATTTGGGAGTGTTTCAAATATTTCAATGCCGAGTTGCTGCGTCAGCGACCGAATCTGGTACATACTGCCAACCTCTTGGTTCTTCAATTGAGATCGGAAAGACTGTACGATTGGTTATAAACTCAAGTTAGCTAAGGTGGGGTGACATATATATTTATAACCAACAAACTCTACTAGTTTCGTTGAGTGAACCATGGTTTACCATGTGGAAGGGCCTTCCAGCATATTCATACGCTAATGTAAATGTTGCATACATGTTTCGTTCTCAGCACTTGGTGCTCTAACTTTTTACATGTGGTGCGTGCTCTGTAACGTTTTCGGATCTTACTTAATAAGGAACTTATTTAGAGAAGAAAAATAATTATCCTAACGTTGTTTTATTAACAATAAAAAAATACTGGTATAAATATCATTAAACTAGAAATGTTTCCTGGGAAAAACAAAGTATTTTCCGGAATTTTAAGTGGTGAAAAGGTAACATGTATGCAACTCATTTGTCGCAAAAATAAAAAAACAAATGCTCCGCACTGCGCTACCCGCAAGCCTTTAAAATAAATATAATGTTATGAAAGCCGTCATTTGAAAATGTTTATGTTTTATCTGCCACATTTAAATGCATAATTCCGCGGAATTGCATTAGCACCAACCTAGATACATAAAATATAAACACATCTCCTCTGTTATTACAGCGGGCGCATTTAGGTTGACGCCATACTTTACGGTTCCGGCAAACCGGACTTTTGTACAAATTTAAATAGTTTCCCAAAACGTTTCCAGGACGTTTTCATTCGGATTTCGCTCCATAAAATTCAAATTAACAAACAATAATTTTTCCATGCAGAAATTACGAAACGGCCGACATGGAGGTTACGTTTGAATTATGCCTAGAGCGGGTCTCGTTCGGCACATCTGGTGTACTTTTCCAGCGGACCGTTGTGGTCCCTACAGTGACCGACAATGCAGATTTTTTACAAATTTGTTTTCTACATTGATAATTGTGTTTGTACTGTCTATAATGAGTTTATAAAAACGATCCGTTAGGTATCATAAATTTATCTGACGACAATTATAAAGAATATTTTTAATAAATAATGCAGTAGACATATATTTGAAAGAAAACGAAAACTTACTCTGAATATTCTATTAACTATACGAAGAAATTCCTACAAATAAAGGTTTTATTATTAATAATATTAATTTGTAAGTAACTCTCAATAATTAGATATACGACGTCTGTTCAGCAAATAACCGAATGAATGATTCATCGTTATTGTTCAAGGAATTGTCAACAAAGGAGGTTATGCGCAACGCAATGCTGCCAACACTAGTTATTTTTTTAGTTATTCTTGCATACCGACTAGGTAATTTAATAAATTCAGAACAAATGTAAGTTAGGAGATAAAACAGAAAAGTTTTTTTCTCAAAAGTAATAATATAATGCAATAAGAACTAGAAGGATTGTATTTTCCAAAATTTATCACTCTGTATATCATTTTAAACCGTAATTCGTACGTCATTATTGCTAAAAAATAATGCTGAATGTAACACACATAAGATGAACTAAAAAAATTCAAACCACATTATTTCTCAAAGATCAAGTTATTTTTTTTTCTTATCCTGAATCATCTGCAGAACTTTGTCGATGGAATTAGATTTTTGACAAAATATCTAGAACTGAACAACTTTGTCGACAAATTAAAAATTGAATTTATAAATACCCGCTCTAAGTACGTACAACTGAAATCCAAATTATATATTAAACCCAATTATTTAAAAAAGGGAAATTTTCTTGTAAAGTAAAATTCCTTTATAGTATTTATATACTAATTCTTTTATAATATGTATTAACTAAATATGTTGATGCTGATTAACAGAGGAGATAAAACCGTATATCTAAAATGTGCTAAATTAATACCCCCCTGTACATATAAATAACTCCAATATTCCAAAATTTATTATTTAAATTGGCAGCAAAGGGCTCCAGAGTCCTACTGCTAGGCAATAAAAAGCAATATAAGAATACTGAAAAACGCTTATACTCGTACGTAAAATAAAGAAAATTACTGAGAATTTAAGAGAAGCAACGAATTCATAGTTGTAGATGTCAATTCGTATAGAAATTATTATATAATTAGATCCTTATTCGTTATGACCTTAAAAATCAAGTGAGATAATTAGTAGCCCTAGCTCGAAATTATTATTACCAAACGTTTTATTGAATCGTCTATTTATTAAAACAATTGTAGGTTCTATTTATTTATTTATTAACTTATTAACTTATTTACTTATTTATTAATTTATTTACATATTTATTCTTTTTAATCAACAGTGTACAACGAATTCTGCTTGTTTCGTTGCGTTTGAAAAGACACAAAGATCATTAAATGTTGCTTTAGGCAAATTAATAGATATATTTTTGCATACCGATTATTTTGTTACGAATATTATTCATGTTGTGGCAAAATAGCATTTAATGATTTTTTGTTGGAAGAGAGAAATCGGATTAAAAGGTGGACTATTTTAAAAAATTAATTCAACGGGGTTTGATATAAAAAATAAATACTTTCGCTTTCTGGATTATATTAAAACACTGCAAAATGCATGTGTGAACAACACAATTTTATTTATTTATAGTTGATTTCTTAATATTCAATTTTTTCTATTGTTACTGTAAATAAAAATATTCTCAGACTAATAGTTGATCAAAATTAATGATAAAATGAAACAGATTAGTCAATGTAAATAAATGCTCTAATACTGTTTATTATTTAAACATAATCTACTTGAATTGTAACCTCAAGAAAAAGTCCATTTAATAAAAGCAGGTATAATGAGAAAAATACGTATATAAAGCACAAGAAAATACGTAATCAAATTCCTAATTATTTACTGATTCCTTAAATATATACAGTGCTATGCATATACTGTAACGTTACGTTTTT